ATCAATAGATGTTTGACCAAAGGTGCATTTTGAAACATTTATGCAAAGTCCATATTCCTGAAGTTTGGAAAATAAAGCTTTCAAATGCCTGCAATGTTCCTCAGAATCTTTAGAGGCTATGAGCAAGTCATCGACAAAAGCGTAAACGCCTTCTAAATCCCGCGTGACTTCTTCATCTATAAAACGTTGAAAAGTCGCAGATGCATTGCATAAGCCGAATTGCATACGGATACTTTCGAATAAACCGAATGGTGTGCATATGGCGGTTTTGTGGATGTCGGCTGGGTTAATTGGTATTTGATGGTATGCCTTAATCAGGTCGACATGACTAAAAATTTTAGTACCGTGCAATGCAGCAGTAAAATCGGCTAAACATGGAATAGGGTATTTGTCTTTTATTGTTTGAGCGTTCAATGCTCGATAATCTCCTACAGGTCTCCATTCCAGACTTCCCTTTTTTGGAACCATGTGAAGTGGGGATGCATAATTGCTGCTTTGCTCGAAGGTCTCAAATGCCCCAATTGCATCATTGTTTGAAATTCTTGTTTTGCTATTTTTAAGCGATCTGGAGCTAACCGACGAGGTTTTGCAACCACAGGTGGACCTTTAGTTATGATATAATGAACGGTGTTATGTTTAACAGGTTGGTTAGGATCTGGTAATCTAGTAACTGAAGGAAATTCTTTTAAAATTTTGTGATATGGTGTATCACTAAATACAGTTTTTACTGAATAAATGCTTGCATTTTTCACGCAACCGACGGTTTTAAAATGCGTTTTTAAATCTTTGAGACATTTGTTTCTGAGATCAGGCACCAATTCAAAGAAATGGAGAAAATCTGCTCCAAGAATGGGTTGTACTAACATTTGCTATAAGAAAAGTCCATGTAAAACTGTCGTCTTAATTTGAAATCCAAAGAAAGTGTTTTTTGACCATAAACATGAATAGTAGAAGAATTAGCAGCGAAAAGTGTTTGTTGGGACGAATTCCGTTTTTGAGAATTATTTGCTGGAAGTAAGTAAGACACGTCAGAGCCGGTATCGACCAAGAATGAAAGGTTTGTTCTACGGTCACGAACGAACAGGCGACGTGAAACTTGAGGCAAAGAATAAGTCGCCTCTATTCTTTGCTGGTTTCGTTTCCCTGCCATGAACAAGGTTTTGTACATTTGTCATCTCTACACTTTTTCCCAAAACGTCTATGATACCAGCAAACAGAATAATCTCTCCTTTTGGAATTGCTTCTTTCCTTATTGCGATCTCCGCGATTTGGCGAGCGACCACGAGAAAGAGAAATGCGATCAATACGTTTGTTTAATTTTTCTATTTGTTTAAATAATTTATCCTCAAGAGAACGATCGACTGTGCGAGAAACGGCACAAGTCCCTGGGGTTGGATTTACTTCTAAAATTCTGTCGGCAATTTCTGCAGCTTTATCTACAGTTAAATTGGAAACCGCTGCCAAAATAGACTGAACAGTCGAAGGCAAACGTTGAAGGAATAATTCTAACATTAAGTTATCAGGAACATTTAAAGATTCTGCTCGACGTTTCATATTTCTAAGCAAATCGGAAGGTTTTCGAGAACCTAATTCTTCTCCAGATAATAATTGGCGAATTTCTTGCTGAGAAGATTCTCCTGAACGATTTATTAACTCAGTTTTAAGCTTTGCATATGGATCAATAGGGTCTGGTTTCATAAGTAAATCCCGTACTAGTGATGCGATATCTGGAGGAAGATGAGAAACTACATAATTATATTTAGTAATGGATTCTGTGATAGGTTTGGGGGTGGCAAGAGCAAAAGGTACTTTCACACATAATAAACCATAAAGATGGGTCTGATCGGTTATAAACCGGAATTTGGACGGCATGAACATCAGACATTGTGCAAGGTTTTTAAGCCAAAATAAAAGCAAAAATTTAACTAAAGAAAATGAAATTAAATGATAAGTAGAAAACAGAATTATAAAATGATCTATAATTACTCATCTGTGATCGGAGGATGAAAAACCGATGTAATCCATTACTTCTGGTTTGGAGATCTTGAGTGATGGCTTGTAGTCAAAACCGAAAGTGCTTGAGAACTGTTCATACGATTTAACACAGTCCGGGTTACCATTATGGGAATTTCCTGTTATGTTTTTACCACCAATCCTCAAATTCCATATCGCAGATTATGTTCTTACTCCATTAATATAATATTAACAAGACATAGTGCACAATAAAAATTAAGCTTTATTTAGGAACTTCGCGCACACTGCCCGACAGCCTGCCTGTTTCGCTCTGCTCGCTACTCGTAAGAAACTTCTCCTCTAGGGTTGCCACACTTATCGGAGGGCGCAAGGCGCGCTCCTTATCGCCATCACCACAAGACATAATGGTTTGGGTATGCTTCACTGCCTTTGGGATAGGAGATTTTCTTTTCTTTTCTTTTTTTTTAGGAAATTATATCAATAAATATATAAATATTCATAAACCCAAAAAGCATTTACAAGAAAACTTTGAATGCAAAAATGCATTCATGTTCTATGAGAATAATGACCCTAAACATACAGCCCTAATTGCTCGCATGGGTCATGACAATTGTAGTAAATTTTTTACTTAAAGTAATCAAAAATTCTGCATATCCTTCGGACTTAAATCCTATGGAGTGAGTTGGAGAAAAGAATAATTAAACATGACATTTCTTTGAAAATTCTGTTAAAAGGAATTCTTATAGAAGATTGTAACATTCTTACTCAGAATTAGTTCAATCTATATGAAAAGTAGGATTTTAGCTAAAAGATTTCCAGTAAAATATTGAATGCCCTATTATTTTAATTTTTTCATTAAATATTAACTGCTTGTTCAACTGCCTAAATATTTATGTGATTTCATTCATGTAGCACCAATTAAGTCTTGATAAGCTGCCTTTTGTCTTATGAACAGGAATAAAAATTAATTGTTGTTTGTGTATTTTTCTTCCATCTTGAAAAAGAAAAAAAAATTAAGATTTGGTACCTGCTTCTACAAAATAGTGGATTGTTTTCAATGTTATGGATTCCTACTGTCAAAAAAAAAAAAAAAAAAAAAAGTATATGTTAATGGAGAAAAGATATGGTCAACTGAATATGGATGACAAAATAGTAATAGATCGGAGTAGCTATCTACAGAAAGTTTACATTTATAGTGTTCTAAACAAAGCTTCTGGTAAAATCATACAGCTTAACAAAGTAGTAAAAATAGGCAAAAGCCTTTTTATGAAAAAATGAAGCGAGTTGAATACCTATTTTTTATTTATAAAAGGGACATCAATTCCTTTAGAATTCTGCAGGAACAGTTGCCTTAACTTTCACGAGATCCCCAACCTCTCCCATATTTCTATGGTAGCCAACTTTCATGGTCAATGGAATAACATAGTACCATATTTGGTAACTGATATTTACGAATAATACTGAAAAACACGTGTCCAAAATGTGAACCACTCTAAATCTTTTAGGAGAAGTGACAGCTTTTAGGAGAGCTGAGAAAATTAGAAGTTGATCTAATCATATTCTGCAACAGAACTGCCTTACAAAATGCCCAGGACAGTTTTTCTTAGCACCAAAATGGCAACTAATCAAGTTACCTAATTTTACAAAACAAATTTTACAAATTCTACAAATACAATTTAATTTTACAAATTCTGGTGGGTAGGTAAATCAATGACCAAACCAAACTCTGCTCATAAAAACAACTCTGAATTCTCACTTCATGGTTATATGTTATCTCTCATTTTTTCCCCTTGGTTTAAATCATAGCATAACAAACACTAAAGAGTTAATTTCATGTGAAGAAATATAACTTATTTGATTTGATTTGATTTGGGTTTTTCTTTATCGCTTCATGTCATTTGGATGTGCTAACAGGATTGCTATTTTTGTCCATGAGAGGATAAGGAAATGACTGAAACTGAAATGCAAAAAATGGATTAAATTCTGATGTCTATTTGCTAGATTGATAAATCTTAGTTAGTCTTCAGATGTTAAATTGATTCCAAGGTTTCTGTGGCTATGTGTATGTAGAAAATAAGGTGTGCCATTGCTGTGAGACATTCATTCTGTTTCTGCCTTAATGTTTACTGAACATATTGGTTGCTATATTGTGGATGTGTAATCTACTTTGCCTATGTGGTACTGATTGTGATGGTGAGTTCTATCTCAATGGTACTAGGCATCTATATTTCACTCTTATATTTGGTGATGCTCAGTGATTCAAGCTTCGGCTTCTGCTATTCCTCCAGATGAGAATTGTGTTTTTTCGCAAGGGGCAGTAGATAATTAACATTAGCTCGTCGATTTCTAGAAACTTAAATTTATCTGTATTTGTTTGATCTTGTAAATTATCTTCTTATCTTAGCCTAGTGCTTAAAAATTCAACACAAAAGTTACTGTAATATAATTTATTTCATGAAAATTAAATGTAAAAGTATTCTTGTGTTTCACCATGCCTTTTGTTAATCCTTTACCATTCTTGTTAATAAACATTAGAGTGTAAAAAAAATTTTTGTTTTTGTTTTGAGTGCATTTATGATGATAATTCTTATGGGGCTGCTATTGCGTAAGTATTATCAGCTTACACAAAAATTATCACCATACCATAGTACAGTGTTTTCTGTGAATGTGCTTTATATTTTGATTAAATATTTGTATCCCAAAAACAATTAAGGTTCTTACATTATGGTGTCAGTTGAACATCTATCTTGCAAAATAAACTAATTAATGTAAATTCCAATGTCCATGGCATATTTATGTGAATTTTCCATCCATGTGTCCGTTAATAATAGTGATGGAGACCATAATGTGTAATAATTTAGAATTGTTATATATTATAATCTGTAAATCTTGAAAAATAAGAATTTTATTAAAATTTATATGTATGAAGTTAGTATCCAAAAGTCTTCTTTAATCTGGATTTAAATGCTAATATTAGTTTAAATGTTTGAAGCAATTGTTTTTAATTTGGTTTTAATCTATTTTAGATTTGTAATTGGAAGACATAATAAAACAATTAGTTCTATTGAGCAACAAACTGGAGCCCAACTTAAAGTCCTTAACAGAAAAGCTGAAAGACAAACAAGTGAAATTGGTAAATTATGTACTGCTATTTATTACTGAGTTCAATTTTTACCTGGTATTGCTATAATACAGAACAGACTTAAGGTACAGTAGAAAGTCTTTAATCCAGACGTCCATAATCCGGAATGATCTATAATCCGGACCTCAAAGCTACAAACTTTTATGCATGCGCATATGCATTTACGCATGCGCATAATACCTTTATGCATGCGCATATGCATTTACGCATGCGCATAATACGTTTATGCATGCGCGTTTAATGTATAACGGACAGTATAAGTTAGGCTAAAATTATCTAATTATCTATTTCAGTTAATGTTGCAGATTGTGTTGTTCCTTAATCTTCTAATTGGATCCAGTTTATTTTTTGCAGACTGTTAGAGCAATTTTATAAAAAGTAAGCTTGAACTTTCGATTATGTCAAAAAGAGTTTCCGATTCTGGAGCTGCCAAAGGATCTACAAAGCGAAAGCATGTTTCAATGTCCATAAAAAAAAAAGTGGAATTGCTGCATAAAATGGATAAAGGTATGAAGAAAGTGACAAAGAGGTTAGTAACAAGTTAGTCGGTAGTGTCGGCACAGCACAGGACTTGAACAGAGGAACTTTGTAACTGAACTGAACAAGAAATTATGTCTGTTTATAGAATTAAAGAGAAAGTATTAGCACATAAAACAAAGCAACTTAAACAACTTACATTGAAAGAAATGTTTAATAAAGTAAACAAATAAATATTAAGCTTTTTTTTGTCAATTTTGATACCCTTTAGATCATAATTGCTCTTTATTTCATAAATTACGGTTTCATATTTTTAATTTTATAATTTCTGCATGCCATCTTACCAGATTTAAATTGATGATCTATAATCCGGAAAAACCCCTAATCCGGAATCGCGGAAGTCCCGACGAGTCTGGATTAAAGACTTTGTGCTGTATTTGAAAAAAGGACTTTCATTTAAACTTAGCAATTAAAAAACGATAAAGAAATTAGCAGCTTCTTTTAATTACTACTTTGACTGTACAAATGAATTAACTATACTTCAATAAAAAGTAAAAAAAATCCGGTTTATCTATATTCTAGGGTGCCTCTTGAATTACTGCCAAGTTGTTTCATTTATTATCAAATTGTTGTTTCAGTTCTGATAGGTTATTTAAGTCACATTCTCTGGTTATTAAATTACAACAGGCAAGTGCCATCTGCATATAAGGTATGAATTGCAAAACATTTTTAATGACAATTTGACCTGTATTTGCATTACATATCAGAAAAAAAATTGTATCGGCCTATTCAAAAATTAAGAATAAAGTTCTAGTTGACTTATATTTTGTAATTTTATCAATTTGGCCTCATATATTCTTGAGAAGTAATGATATAAATGTAGACGTGTAGAAATAATATAAAAATGTAAAAGAAAACGTAAAATTATCATGAAAGCCAAAACACTCATGTAAAGTTGTGTCTACATATTATCACTAGCTTCAAAATATACTTTCTAAAAATTTTTAATATTTTAAATATAAAAATGAAAATATTAAATTGAAATGAAATTTCAAATTTACTGAAGATTAAAAAATAGACATCAAAATTACAAAACCGTTTGCAGAATATTAAAATGGTTACTGTAAGTGAAATTAGTGGTATCAGGTATTCATTACAGTACAAAGTCTTTAATCCGGATGTCCATAATCCGAAATGATC